GTATGTGGAAAATAATGTGTTTTTTTAACCTTAAACCGCATAAACACATTTCATTACACCAAATACACAAAATAATGTTCTTTTTAGCAACATCATATGACCCCTTTAATGCATTTAGTTTATTAAATTTTAATGCATGTTTCAATTAATATTTTAAAATACTAATACTAAAATACTAATATTAGTATTATAATATTTGTAGTACAATAGTATTCTAAATATTTCTCAGTTGTTTAAAGTTTGTAAAAATAATTGTTTTTCAGTGTTGCATTTATTTTAATAAATATTTAGTTTCATGCGTGTTTTGATTAATATTTTTAAATATAATATTTATCATAAAACTTTAAATATTTTAATTGTGTAAAGTTTGTAAAAAGTAGTTTTCAATGTTGTATTTTCCTTGATTATAATGAAAGCGATTATATATCAATACTCCTAGACTGTTGTGTGTTCAATTAAATAAACTGAGCGAAACTAACTGCTATAAAATGTTAAATTAAATTAGGTTAATGTTGCCAATACCCTACACCGTGGTAGATAATTGAGCTGGTTTTCTGCATCCAGCCAACATCGTTTGGCGCTCCTCGTGTTCAGCAAATTCAGACATGACTTTTGTGGTTGTGCTTCTTGGCAGTCTGAGCTCTTTATTGATTTCTGCTGTCAGTACGAGGGTGCACATGCCAAACCTTTTAATGGCGCCTATAAAAGTGCCAAGCCAATCTCACCAGCTCCTGGTAAAGAGTAACTCTCAGTACGGTCTTCAGAAAGCGTCCTGGCACACGTGCATCTTTTCCCTGCGTTTCCTGTTGCTGATGCATGTGCAATTATTTCTGAGCGATCGGCAGATGACGCGTGATGAAAAATTAGAGGCGTTTAATGATCAGCCGGAGTGAAAGGTGAAGGCTTTGTGCTGTGACGAGTATAAGCATGACGCTTTTATCGTATACTAACGAGTCAGTGCTTAATTATTGCCTGCAGCACAACAGGAAATCATCACAAAGTCAAAGCCGGGCCTTATTAGCATGATTGTATTATAAAACTCTCTTCTTCAAGTGGAGTTGTTTGTATGTCGTTGACCTTTCTGTGACGCCAATTTCTTTGTCTTCAAGCAAAACATCCTACCAAATGTTGCCAATGAGCATAAATAATATTTAAATTCATGTAGAATTAATCTATATTTAATTTAATGTCTAAATTAGCATAAATTAATAAATATATAAATGAATGTGATTCACTAAAATCAAATTGACAAAAATGTTATTCACAGCATAGTGTATATTTAATCATTTTCAAATAGAAAACAGTCATTTGAAATTTTATTTGTTTTTTACAATATTACTGTTTTTACTTTATAGGTTAATTTTCATTTGATTAAAAGATTACTGGTTTTATCTTTTGATTAAAAGATAAAAACATAAATGTTTTAATCAAATGAAAATTAAACCCTTTAAGTTTTTTGGTAACAAATTAATAAATATATAAATTACTATTTGATTGACTAAAGTCAAATTCACTAAAATGTTATAGTTGTTTTAAATTTTTTTACTGTATTTTGGATCAAATGAATGCAGACTTTTTTGTTTGTTTCAAAAATATTACAAAATTTTGCCGACCCCAAACTTTTTTCTCCAAATTCTGTTTCTTTTTTCTTTTCTTTTTTTGCCATTTGAATTTATCTTGATTCCTGTTTTTAATGGTTTAATTCTTCTGGTCTCCAGTTTTTCTGCATTACGTTTTAATGTTGTTGTTTTTTTTATGTCTGAATTCATTTCATGAAAAAAATTGGTTTATGACATTTTTTACAATAATAGGGCTATGAATTTTTTTTTTCCCCCCAGACATTCTGTATTGTGTCTTAATTTTATATTGTGTCTTAACTCAAACCCATAAAACATTAATTTATCTTTTAATGAAATGAAAATTGAACCCTTTAATTTTTCAAGTGCAGTTGGCGACTCCAATTTCTTTGTCTTCCAGCATTACGTCCTACCAAACGTTGCCGCGGAACATGCCGAGCCACCGTGCGCAGATCGTCCCACGCTATCCCGAGGGCTACCGGACGCTCCCGCGTAACATGCTGCGGCCGGACAGCATCTGCAGCGTGGCGGGGTCGATGTACGACCAGGCGCTGCAGCCGACGACTGCAGAGAAGCGGCGCTCCATACGGGACGACACTATGTGGCAGCTGTACGAGTGGCAGCAGAGGCAGGCGCACAGCCGGATCGGATACGGGACGTTGCCCAGCCCCAAAACCATGGGCCAGATCGCCGAGTCCATCCCCACGTCTCCTTCCCATGGGTCTCTGGCCGGTTACCACACCTTCTCCCCTAATCGCCCCCTCAACCCAGATTCCCGCTCTGAAGTTTCCTCGCCGGTGTTTCGTGGGGACGTGACTATTGAACGCCGCCACCGACCGCACCTCTCCAAGGTACAGAGTCACACAGGGTTCCCACAGCAGGGACAAACTTGGAAAATATAAAATAATTATTTCCAAACCTGGGGGGAAAAAAAAAAAAAACAGGTTTGGTGTTAGTGGTACCAGCTTCAGGTGCAAACTATATATATATATATTAGTGCTGTCAAACGATTAATTGCGATTAATTGCATCCAAAATAAAAGTGTTTGTTTACATAATATATGTATGTGTACTGTGTTTATTTATTATGTATATATGCACATACAGTGTATATTTAGAAAATATTTACATGTATATACATTTATATATTTAGATTATTATATTTTATATTATATATAAATATATTTAATATATAAACGACATATTTAAAAATTTTCTTAAATATATACAGTAAACAAAAACTTTTATTTTGGATTAATCGTTTGACAGCACTAATATATATATGTATATAATATATATAAATAATATATAAATTATTTTCAATTATAAATGTGTAACAAATATATATAATTAAAATATATATAATTAATCAGTTAACAACTTAAAGGGGTCATATGATGCTTTTTTAAAGATCATTATTTTGTGTATTTGGTGTAACAGAATATGTTGACATAGTCTTTGCAACTTCAGGGATCTTATCTATGCACAATCTGCTTGTAACACCCCAAAGAGAAAGGAAAACTTGAAATCGCATCATATGACCCCTTTAATACAGAGCCTTTGTCATTTTTTTCCACGTTTTGTTATGTTGCAGCCTTATGTTAAACTGCTTTAAATTATTTTTTTTCCCACATCAATCTACACTCCATACACTATAATGGCAAAGCAAAAACAGAACTGTCACAACTTTGTAAATTTATATAAAAAATAAAAAACTGAAATAAGTACGTTGCATAAGTATATAACGCAGTACTTAGCTGAAGCACCTTTACAGCCTCAAGTATTTTTGGGTATGATGCGACAAGCTTTGCACATCAGCACTTGGCATTTATCTGCTATTCTTCTCCTCATCTCTTCACCTCTCAAGCTCTGTCAGGCTGGATGGGCCAGAAGCACATTTTCAGGTTTCTCCAGAAATATTTGATTGGGTTCAATCCCAGGCTGTGGCTGGGCCACTCAAGGACATTCGGATGGTACTCTGCAGGTGATGACTGATGAGCAGTGCCTGGTTTCCTTCAAACATGATGCTTAGAATTGAGGTTCATCAGACCAGATAATATTGTTTCTCAGAGTCTGAGGGTCCTTTAGGTGCTTTATTTTTTTGTTGGCAAATTCTAAGTGTGTTTTCATGTGTCTTAACTGAAGAGAGGATTGAGCCTTGCCACACCACCATAAAGCCCAGATCGGTGGAGTGTTGCAGTGATGTTTGTCCTTCTGTAAATTTCTCCCATCTCCACATATGATCATGGAGCTCAACTAGAGTGACCATCAGCTTCTTGGTCACCACTCTAACCAAAGCCATTCTCCATCATTTGCTCAGTTTGGCCAGGAGGCCAGCTCTTGGAAGAGACTTGGTTGTTGCAGACATCTTCCATTAAGGGTAACAGAGACCACATGCTTCTGTGAACCTTCAATGAAGCAGAATTTTTTTTCTTAACTCTTCCACAGATGTGTGGCTTGACGCAAACCTGTTTCTGAGCTCTACAGGCAGTTCTTTTGACCTCAGTGCTTGGTTTTTGCTCTAATATGCATTATCAGCTGTTAGACCTTTTATTAAGACGTGTGCCTTTTTCCAAATCATACCCATTCGGCTGAATTTGCCACAGGTTAACTTTACTTAAAGTGTGGTAACATTTACAAGCAAAATGATTGCTCCTGAGCTAAATTTCAACTGTCCCAGATAAGGGTATGAATACTTACGCAATGGAATCATTTAAGTTTTTCATCTGTAATAAATTTGCAAAGATGCTAAAACCTGTTATTTGCTTTGTCATTATAGTGTATGGAGTGTAGATTGATGTGGGAAAAAAGTAATTTAAAGCAGTTTAACATAAGGCTGCAACATAACAAAACGTGAAAAAATGAGCGTCTGAGCGTGTAATTGCCAGATCACATTATTTCCAAGCCTTTAAGTTTCATCTAAGGCTGTGGGTTTAATGCTCTCTTCACCAGAGTGGTCCGTTCCAGTGCTCTTGAGATCACTGTGCTTTCCTCTCTCTCTCTCTCTCTCTCTCTCTCTCTTTCTCTCTCTCTGTCAGTACTCCTTTCCTGCCGAGCGCAGGCCTGTTCCTCCCGCACAGAGCATCACTGCACAGTCTCTGCAAAGCAAAACGGTACGCTTTCCCTCTTCTCCACCCACCACCTCCGTCTGTAACTCGCACATCCACAACTTTGCTTTCCTCTCAAACTCTGCATTTTTCATTTGCAAGCCACCAAGGATTCGTTGAGGCTTTGGCTTGCAAATGAGCAGAATGTTTTACATGCAGAGGTTGAGCTGCTCATTGAAAGTCAACGTGAAATCAAAATGACCATATTTACTTTCATAACACATACTTCTGGTCTACTCGTGCACGATTCATGAGCGCATGTTAATCCAAAGGTAAAAAATGGTCGTTAGTGTTCAAATATGGCTTGACCTGAAAATATAGCATGTTTTAGCAGTAAAATAGGTTGAAAATGTCATTTCATGTTGACTTTAAAGGTAAACGGATATTCAAATGTTCATGTAGGAGTATTGCATTGCAGTAGAGTAGGTTTTTCAAGCTTTAGGTCTTGAATTAAACGCCAGAGTGATGAGTGTTTGTGTGTGTGTTTATTGTGACAGGTGAAGCACTAATACCATAAGCTCTTCTTAAAACTATAATTATTATTCTCTTACTTGACGTTTCAGGTTCTGGCAATCTTAAGCTGCCTTTTTCCCGTTAAGCTTCTGCTTTTATTTATTAATTTTACAGATGCAAAGTACAACTGGCAGAAATTGTCTGCAGAGAGCATTTTAATGTAAAAAGCCTGCGGTCACTTGATGAAACATTAATAGAGCTCCCCTCCATATGTGTTTTACTCATCATTGCTGAAAAGCTGCTGTAAAAATGTCTTTCGTTACGGTGCATGAAATTCAATTGAGCACTTTAAACATTTTGGTTTAGGTAAAAGCCTCTTGGAGAGTTTTTATCTTTGTTTTTCATGACATAACTTAATTTATTTGGATTAATATAAACCAAGATGAAATGACAGACATAAGATAATCTAGATCCCAGGGTTATTTTCTTCAGATGTCACTTAATTGGATAGCAGAACAAGCTTTTAAGGATAAATTGGCATAAACCTGGGATTTTGGTTATGGTTATACATGGTTATGTAGTTTATGCAATTTAGCTGAACCTGGTAGAGCTGGTTAGAAATGATGATTAGATATTACATATTTAATACTACAAATTATTTATTTTATTTACAGATTTTCTACTCCCTGGACCAGTGTCATTTTACTGTTCATATGCTATTATATTATTCATAATTTTGAATTAACTTTTATATTTTGATTTTTTCATTTTAAAGTTTTATTAATTTTGTTATGCTTAATTGTATAAGTATATTTGTATATACACATACATTCTAGTTAACAGATTTTTACTTTCTATTATTTATATGCTATTTATTTAGTATAGTATTATATGGTATATAGTATTTATTAATATTTTAAATTATATATTTTTTTTTTATTCAGACTACGTTTTAGCAATTTTGTTGTGCTTGATTTTACATTCTTGAATACAAATTTAAACTTAAAAATTTAATTTAAACTTATTTATATACTATTATATTATTTATTATTTTAAAATGTGTATTTTTTTATTTTAGTTTTATTAATTTTGTGCTGCTTGATTATATATGAATGTTTGTATATACGTATATATAATTTCCAATTATTTATTTACAGATTTTCTACTTCATATTATTTATACTATTTTAGTATTTATTCATATTTTGAATTAGCTTTTATTTTATTTTTATTTTAATTTTAGTTAAAGTTTCAGTAATTTTGTTGTACTCGATTTTCCATTCTTTGAAGCAAACTTAGTTATTTATATACTATTATAGTATTTATTATTATTTTAAAATAACGTTTATTTTTATGTTAGTTTTATTAATTTTTAATAATTTGTTAAAGTGTTGTGCTTGATTTTCCATTGTTAATAGAAAATTAAAATTCAAACCAGCTTGTAATTAGTTTCTAGCTCGAGAACCCTGTCATTCACGGTTACTAAACTAGTTTATACAACTTAGCTGGTAGAGCTGGTTAATCATGTTGATGAGATATCACAGGTTTATGTCAGTCTATCCAGCGCATGTCCTCTGTATCAAACATGGCCAGATTTCCCATAACCCCCTTCACGGCGGCCCACACTAACGCTGCTCCTGTCGCCCGCTGCAGCCAGAGGAACTGACCCTGCTGCTCATCAAGCTCCGGCGGCAGCAGGCCGAACTCAGCAGCCTCCGTGAGCACACGCTCGCTCAGCTGATGCAGCTAAACCTCGATGCCGCCAACCCAAAGGTCAGCCTCGCGGATCGCTAGCCTGTGCATCCCAGAGTGAAGGGCTTGTTAGCTCCCCCGCCAAACCCCGGTCACCCCACAACCCAGCCTGTCCATTTCCAAGTCTGCTGGTTTCCCCATTGCTTCCGCATGCTGTTGTGGATTGGATGATGTCTAAAGAAATACGTTTCAATGCCAGATTTAGTGCACACTAGCGGTCGAAGGTTTGGAATAATTAAGATTTTTGAATGACATCTTTTATGCTCACCAAGGCTGCATTTAGTAAATAAGTAATAATGTAAAATATTTTACCTTTTAACATAGCTGTTTTCTATGTGAATATCTGTTCAAATGTAATTTATTGCTGTGATCAAAGCTGAATCTTCAGCATCATTACTCCAGTCTTCAGTGTCACATGATCCTTCAGAAATTACTCTAATATGCTGATTTACTGCTCGAGAAACATTTCTTACTATTATTAATGTTAAACACGGTTGTGCTGCTTCATCATTTTGAGGAAACTACCATTCAAAAGTAAAAAAATAGTATTAATTATTATTTATAATTTCCCATTTTTGTTGAAAAAAAGCCTTAAAAAATATACTGAATAAATTATTACAGTAAAGACAATTTTAACATTACAAAAGTTTTCTGATTCAAATTTAATGTTGTTGTTTCTAAAAAAAAAAAAAAAAAAACATTTATAGCCATAACAGTTCCCACAAAAATATTAAGCATTAATTGAGCAGCAAATCAACTTCTTAGACTGATTTCTGATCAGTCAGTGATCACAGCAATAAATTACATTTTAAAACATATCAAAATAGAACGTTATTTTAAATTGTAATAATGTTTCATAATTTTACTGTATTATTGATCAAATAAATGCAAACGTGGTGAGCCTTTATTCAATAAATCTTAACTATTCCAAACTTTTGACCCGCTGTTTGGAGAAACGTCTCTTCCTTTCCACTAACATGTGAAATCCCTTCAGTCCTGTAGGTTTGGATCATGTTTTGTGCGGCTGCTGCATGCATCTGACGCAGTTTGAGGAACATGATCAGCAGAAGTTGTGTTTCTGTTTGCAGTCCTCTTTTGATAGCTAGATGTTGTCTTTGGTGGACCCTTTTATGTGCAAGAACCTCATTTCTGATTTGCTCTTCAGCTTGCTTCGTCTCGCTCATAAAAGTGCATGATGAACTTGAGGAGAAAGTGGAGTTTGCAGTTGTTGACTTTGAACGGCTTTTTGAGTTTTTTTCTTTTGCGCTTCCCCTGCTCTGAAGCCCACGTCTCTGGTTTTCTCACTGCTCTCCTCTCATCTTCTTTCTCTTGCCGTCTCTAGAGTGAAATCCTTTCCCATCACCTACAGAGGAATCTCGTGTACTTGGACAGCCAGGTGAGGGCCTTTCCTGTTTCTCTCTCTCTCTCATTGTCTTATTTCTCTGGCTACTGTACTTTTATTACAGCGCAGATCAAACGGCCCTCAGTGCATCTGCTGCAGTTCTTTGTTCTGCTGAAGTTCTGTTGAATGCAGATGGTGTCTCTTAAAATAGCGGTTCATTTAAAGCATTTTTAGCAACAAAACATGAGCTGGATTCATTTGTATTGTTTAGTTTGTCAGGCTCAATTCTCAGTGGTAGCCTGCTGTGAATGTATTGTATTTTTCATTTAACTAATAGATCACAGCAGTAACCTGTCTATTTTTAAAGCCCTTGCTTGAGGAAGGACATTTCATGTATAACAGCTCTAAGAATTGACAGAATGAATATGTAGACAAGTATTGAGTAACTCTTCCCATAAAGCATTATGATGTAGTTGAATATATATAATTGCTTTTATATTTTCAATGTTACTCTTAAAGTTTAATAATTTTTATATATTTTTATGTAGCTTTAATTTCTTTAGTTCAGTTTTAGTTTGTCATTTTATTTATTTAACTTATTTTAGTTGCAAAGGCAATATTTCTTTTTCTTTTCTTTTGAGGTTGAGTTCAATAATTGGATTTTATTTTATTTTTCATGAATGTAGTTGAATAATTCTGTTATATAGATTATAAATATAATTTCTATTGATTTATTTAGAGATTTTCTACTCTCTGGACCTGTCTTATCTTATTAGTATTTATTTTAATATTATAGTGTTTATTACCATTTCAAATGAGCTTTTATTATTATATTTTCAATTTGAATTTGTTTATATTAATTAATATTTCTATTTCTTTCTTTTTTTTTTCGTTTAAGTTGAATTTAATATTTATATATTTTTTTTATGTCAGGTTCGTTTTCAGTTACTGAAAGTTATTTTTTATGTTTTAGTGTTAGTTAATAGCAAACCAGACTGTTGTAGTTTGAAGTTTTCCTGTAATTCTTACATAATAAGTAATACTAATACAGGAATATTTTTTTTATTATTGTGAAGCACATCTCAGTGAAGACTGCATCTCTGAATAAACATATCTTGGTGGACAGTTTGATGTTTTAAGTTAAGCTTTTGTCTCCAATGACCTTTTTGAAAAAGATCAACTCAGAATAGCATTATTTGAACAAATGTTCTTCACTTTCTTTGACAGGAACCATTTATTGTCTTTTAACATTGTATTGCATTACTGAAGTGCACACAGTCATTATTCTGGAACGGCGAACAGGAAAAACGCATGAGTAAGGCAGACATGTGATATTTGTGAGGGTCAGAAGCTGTAAAAACACAGTGCTTTGATAATTCCTGTTACTCCTCCTCCTCCTCGTGCACTAGATGAAGGAGAATGAGCCAATAATCTTCATGATTCACACTGTGATTGAGAACTCAGCATCAAGGCCGCAGCTGTACCAGCAAGTAAGGTCTTGGAACACACGGTTATGCTCCTCCCCTCTCGTGTCATGGGCCCCGCCTCTTTGTTGAAGCTCCACCCCCTCACTGCCCCATCCTGTGTCGGTTTCGCTCCAGCACATCCCATTGGTTCTCCTTGTTGTTGTTGTTTTCTTGTTGAAAGTGGAACTGGTATTGGCATGGCTTGATCGTTCCGTGCGAATCCCAGCTGTACCGTTCATTAGCAATGGCTTCATCCATCACGCCGGCTTTCATGTGTTAGCGCAGACTCGCGTGTGTGACTGGAGACCAGTGTGGTTTACCAAGCCTTTTGACCTCCAAAAGAAAAGCATTGCACAGCTTTTATGAGCTTTAAAGGCCCATTCACATCAGAGTTTTAACAATCATTCTATAAGAATAGAGAAGTCATGACTAAAACGATAACGACACAGATGAACAATATTAGGGGAGTCATTATTATTGGAAAAAATGACAAAAACATTGACAGCCAATCAAAATCCCACCCAATTACTACTCGAGTATTTAAAGCAACATACAAAATAATTGTTGTTGGTGTGAATGGGCCTTCAGTAACCAGAAACCCCATGATGTCATGCAAATTGTTCGGTAAGCTTTGGCGGTGCTTCGTAAAGTCAGCGAACAGGTCAAAGTTTAAAGTGTCATGTTGCAAACAATTCTGAGTGAATTAAGGATTTATTGGCCATTAAAGCTATTTTTTGCAATGGAAGATATTTAATAAACCTTAATTGTTGTCCTTATGACAGTGGGATTATGCTGATTTGAGTGAAACTATAATAAAATAATAATAATAATAATAATTCCACTGTTATAAGCACCAATATATAGTTTTATTAAAAATAGTGCAAAATGCAGTTTTGAATTCATTTTTAGTTTAAACTTAATATAGTTATATTTTGTACGTAATATTAATTTTAGTAGCCTTAAATTACAAGACTTAATTGTTTCCATAAATGTATCTTACTAGCCATTGAAACTGTATTGTGAAATAGTTTTATTAAAACTGTATTTTTGTGTGTAATTTATTAGAGTATCACTCTAATAAAATCATATAATAGCTAGATATGTAGCATCATATATGAGCTAGAAAAACATCAAGATTTTGTACATAAAATATTCATATTTTGTACATATTAATTTTAGTAGCTTAATGTGAAAAATGTAGGTGATAAATAAATAAATAAACTGTAAGTAACACTGAATTAAACATGACATTTTGAAGTAGAAAGACTGAAATAGTTTTTTCTTGTAAAATATACTGCAGTAATCGTTGTTTTATTTACAACTTAAAAAAAAAAATGAAATCATTTGACTTGTGGCAAAGAAATGTCAATTATTAGAAGACGGATAAATAGCGTGAGCTACTTAAACCACACTGTTATTTTCTGTTGTTGAGATTGCTTGGTTTAAAGTGTTGTTTAGAGAATAATAAAGACTTTATTAGCCATAAATATTTCTTACTAGCCATTAAAATGGTATTTTGCAATATTTTTATTAAAACTATATTTTTGTGCGTATGACAATGGAATTATTTCACTTATTCTTTTATTATAATTTCACTCATAGCATCAGATATTAGCTATAAAAACATCAAGATTTTGTACATGAAATATTATGTATGTTCATAATTATTTCTTCTTTTTAGTAGCTTAGTGTGAAAAATATTCCATAAATGCACTGAACATTCTCAAAGTGTAATTATTCTTAAGCATAAAACATCCAAAGTATGCATTATTAGAAGACATGCAATTGCTGCAGTTAGATGTCATTTGCAGCAGATAAATAGCGTAAGTTGCTTCCATCAGACTGTAATTCTCACTGTTTGATGGTGCTGATGAAGTTAGCTGGTTTATGTACCGGATGGTCGCATCTTGAGTCTCAGTTGTCTTCGTAAGTGGACTTGAGTTCAGATTTTTCCTCAAATCTCCTGCAGCAGCTTCCTCACACGGTGCTGTGAAATCTCAGAAATCCTGTAGAGTGCGAGCGGCTCGGCGGTGTCCCTGCTGGTCCGCGGCCGAACGTGTGAGGGCTTTCGGGTTTTCATTAGTTACACTAACTGGAGCGCTGACAGACGGTAATTACCTGTAGGGAACATCTACTGCAGCAGACCGACCTCCTGAAACCTCCCACATAGTTTCCAGCACACAATCCGTTCAAATTGTTGAATTATTTTCTTTGAAATTGTCGCTCAAACTCTGCCTTTGTGTGCCTCTGGTGTCCCGTAGCAGATGTGAACGTGTACGACTCGAGCGCTGTTAACAGTTTAGTGATTTGTTTTTCTTCTGTTTTTAGCACACCAGATGGTGCTGAAGCAGCTTTATTTCCGTGATGAGATGATTCATATCTACATAAAATCATCCGGCTATGGAAAAGTGTGAATGAGTGTGTCTGTGTGCTGCAAAAAATGATGTTCTTACTCAGTGTTTTTGTACTGTTTTCTAGTACAAATATCCAAACGTCTTTAAACCAACATATATATAACTTTTAAAAAATAGTTTAACACAAAAATTATCGGTAACACTTTACTTGATATATATATATATATATATATATATAATACACAAATATATATAACAAAAATGATACATTTTTATACCAATGGCATTGTTTAGCTTATTTTTTTTTAGACTTTTACTCACAACATCATATATCAGCAGAAAAATGTGTATTCTGTATTTTCTACATAAAATGTTAAAGATATATTCATATTTCATACATAATATACATTCATGTTATTTCCTTAATGTGAAGAATATTCCATAAATGCACTAAAAAATAAACCGTTTTCACACAGAAATCATGTGTAAATTTATTTGAAGCCTTTATATATAATGCATATCTAAATAAGACTTTAAATTAAGAATTTATTGGCTATAAGTATTTCTTACCAGCCACGAAGACAGTATTTTGCAATATTTTTATAAAAATTGCTAATAAAATGGATTATTTAGCTATTATTTTATCATAGTTTCTATCGTAGCATCATATATGAGCTAGAAAATACAGATTTTGTACATAAAATATTCAAGATACATTCATATTTCTTACATATTCATTAGATCATTCGTTTAGTTGCCTAATGTGAAGAATATTCCATAAATGCACTGAAAAAAAAATGGTGGTGAAACATTTTCACTTAGAAATCACTAGTAAATTTACTTGAAGCCTTTGTGTATGATGCATTATAAAAGTATTTTAATGCAATAATTATGCATTAAATGGTAACGACTATTTTTAGATGTAACAAGAAATCTGCAAATATTATAATGCACTTTAACTGTTTACAATTATTTATGAAAATATATAATGCATAATAACAAACATTATGGATGCCTTTTATAATGCATTATGCATAAAGGTTTCAAGTGAAGTGTTCCAAAATATCATAAATGGGGTCTTGTGTCATCAGTGGGAAAGCAATTTTATTTTTCTGGCCACATTGGCAGATATTTTTTGTATTATTATTTTAAGCATTAACCTACCTTCTTTTGAAACATATTTCAAAAATGTAGGCTTAAAATCTGTCATTTTGCTTCTCAAGTAAATGTTTTTTGATTCAAGAATATTTAGCTACTTGTGCTGGAAAACAAGACAAAAATACTGAGTAAGGAAATCATTTTCTGCAGTGTGGATCTATATATATATAAAACGTTCCCGTTTGCTTCCTCCGAACTGTTTGGATGGAGTTTGCATGTTTCATGTGGATTGTATGGTTGGTGTCAGTCCCAGTGCTGCTGTATACAGAGTGACTGTATATAAAGATCCCTGCTGCACAGCACCACACATTTATATTACACCAGCTGCAAGTGTTAGAGGATTTACTGAAGTTACTGTTGCACAAAAGTTCATTATTTAAAGACTAAATTTGGTTTTGCCTTCATTTGACAGCATATTGACGAGTTGCATGTACAGCAGTAGTAAATCAACTGTACACAGGCTCATGTCGCTTGCTCCATCGCTTCATGCGCAGACTAGAGCGGTGTGTAACACTTTCTAGGATTTATTATACAATGCATATCATATCTTACATTATTTCCTCTCATTTCAGCAGATGAGTCCTGAAGAGTACAGAGAAAACACCTACTCATACAGACCCGAGGAGCTGGACATCGATGTAAGCTGCCTCTCTTACTGTCAACTGATCGTTTGCATGATTGTATGATTATATTGTGACAAATATTATTTGAGTTTGTGCAAAAAAAACTGTTATTTACAGCAATTTATCATTAGGAGTGAAGCTTGAATTATGAAACCTGAAGCATGAATGATTAAACATAAATCAGTTTAAGAATTGCAAATGATTAAACTACTTTTCAGGCAAATAGGCAAATTTAAAATGAAAATATTTATACATTTTAATTTAGTTTAAACATTAAATTCAGTCATTCATATTTTAAAATGTAGTTATTTGTAAAATAACCTGTAACATTTTAACATCTTTTAAAATAGCATTTTTTTAAACTTTTTTTTCCTTTCCTTTTTTTTTTTTTTTTTTTTTTTTTTTTTT